AACAGCACAATTTTATTAATTTTAATCAAAATAAAACAAACTATGGATGACAAAAAAACTTGAAAAAATTCAAATTTTGAGAATATAAATCAGTGGATTGATCTAAAACGGGAAATATTTAGTTCAGAAATGTTTAGTCCATCAGGGCCTTAGCGTTTCACACTAGTATATACTCCGAGTGTCATCTATTAATAATCCCATATTAATTAATTTTAGATCCTCAAATACATGACCCAACGTCTCCAAGGTCTTAAAATGTGCACTGTGGGACTCTCTGCATGTTTCCACTTCATGACTACGTATAAATATGCAGCCATTAATGAAGATAATTTCTGCGTGTGATATCCACAGCCAGATTAAAATCAGTGATACAGAACGACTTCTCTCGCTTGAGAATTGTATAGTAAGTCATATTTTTCAGTCTCCAATAGTTTGTTTTTATTGCTTTTAATGACATATGACCTGTTATGTCGCCGAGCACTACAGTGATTTTCTAGCACTGTTCATATTATCAAAAATTGTCTGATGTTAGATCTAGCCCACTTTCCCTTAGTGAGGAAAAAAAAAAAAAAAACGGAAGAGAGAACACAGAACTTCAAAACAAAGACTTTTTATTGCAATACACTGAAGGCCATTAAAAAATTGAGCAAATATTCCTTAAAAAAACGGGACTTAATATTCCATTACAAATACTGTTTGCTAAATTATGTTTGAAATTTGCACCTTTATCAACTGAGAAAGTTTTTTTTTTGTTTGTTTGTTTGTTTGTCTGGAACACTTTCCAGGGATAGGTGTATTACTTGGTAAAACTGATGAACATTCAAAATTCTTCAAGTTATTTGTTAACATGCTAGTCTGCCAAAAGGTAATTGAGGTTTATCTATTTCTTTGAAATATATGTTAAATATTGAATACAGTAAATATATCATAAATTACCACACTCATGCCTAGTTATTACCTATCCTTATCGATTCCAAGTCTTTCTCATCCCCCTGGGGAAAATACAACTGAAGCTGCACATGTTTGGCACTCAGAGCTAACTAAAACAAATTACCAGCCGTACTATATGACCAGATCTTTTTCCCCCCAACTTCGACCTCTGTATACTCAGTGCTTAGCTAGGAGGCAGCAGGTACCATTTTCATGATGGTCTTTGGTATGACCCAGATGGAGACTGAACCCACAACTTACTGCACCAGAGGTGAGCATTCTACCATATGAGCCATCTGGTCAAATCATTCAATTCACATCTAGGCCCAAGCTGAGCTCCACTGATTGTGTTAGATGTGACAGATCACAATTGTACTCACAGAGAAATGTAAACCTTATAAACTAGAATGGGCACCAATGGCCATTTCCACAACCTGTCTCACTTGGTCTAGAACTACACTCACCTGTCACTTTGATCCAGGCCCGTAGCCAGGGGGGGTTCAGGGGGGGGGGTTCGAAAGAACCCCCCTTTTTGCTGGAAAAAGGTCCACTCTGAGTAAAATTTGACCTAGGTACATGGGGGTTATATGGTAAAAGGTCCACTTTTTCAGAAAAAGAACCCCCCTTTGAAATTGCTGGCTACGGGCCTGTTGATCTGTTATTTAATCTAAAGTATACATAAAATATTTTTGACCCTGTAACCAATAACATCTCTGTTGTAATGGACATAATGACATATGGTTCAGCTAGTACAGTTCACTTTATAAAACCAGAACTAGTAAAATGCAGAGTTTTATGGATTGTTATAGAAGTTATGGTGTTCTTTCATATTTATATATATATATATATAACTATTAAGCAGGATCATAAGGTAACTTACAAAGAAGCTCTATGAAAGACTGAATATCCCAGCTTTGGAAATCACTACAAAAGAAAATTTTATTACATACACACACATGAGAGAGAGAGAGGGAGAGATCTCAATGCATTACAACCACATCTTTTTGAACCACCAGAGCTGAAAAGCAACATTGAAGTTGTCATAATATATTTTTCGAGTAGTCAGTTTGGATAATACCGTTCACTTTCTAATCAGTCTCCAGACATGTTTATAATAATTAAGTTCACTCACCTTGAAAGTATATCATTAATCTGATCCTGAGAAAATGACCTGGGCATATTTGCTCCTTGCCTAGATTTAATAAAACTGCAATCAAGACATCATTATGGCATTAATGTACACATCTGGAACTCTTAACATAGTTGATAAAAGCTGGTGTCATGACCAGACTGGTACATCCTCCCCGGGGGAATACTTCCGCCTCCTTATCTAAGATGTCAGTCATATTTAGTTTTCTTTTTCTTTTTTTTTTCTTTTAGGCGTATCAATGGCACATTGTAAATGGGTAATTTTACAGTGATGTGTGTGCTATATTTCCACTGCTGCGTAATCAACCCCTATCACAACCCAAGTCATTGACCTGCCTACCTTTCCCACTGTACCACTTTACGGTAATTACTAAAAAATTTCAACCACCTTACTCATCCCAGCATCTCACTTCGAAATATAATTACAATTTTTAAAAAATTAAAACTTGTTTTAAATTAGTTACCCTTAAAAACTGAACAACTGAACAACCATGAAGCAAACTATTTTTTCTGAAATTTTTGAATAGCATTTTATTTCTATAAGCATTTACAAGACATTGTTTTGGAGAATATCAGAAATCCATTTCATTCAAATGTAACATGTAATTACGGATTATCTCCACAGGCAAAGATATAGTGGGAGAGTCATCATCAACCTATCTAGCTACCGTAACAACTGTAATGTCAACAATCTAAAGGAAATCTTCACATTTCCATACTGCAGATGAAGCAAGACCCTCAGTATTCATAACTTAATAACACAATTCTTAAATCTGAAAAGTTCTAAGACTCATTTTGGGAGAGAGAGAGAGAGAGAGAGAGAGAGAGAGAGAGAGAGAGAGAAGGATTTCATGTGCAAGGCAATTTATCTGTCTCCAATGAATTGCTCTAAAACTTAATATTTGCTTGATCAGTTTCTGATTTCATCCTTCAAAACCACTATCAACTGTTCAATATGTTCTGTTCTCGGCAAAAAGACTGAAATATATCAAACCAAATTCATTCTTGACAACTAGGATCCAAACAACTTGTTGGACCCAAGTGGAAAACCACATTTTTTTTCTAAAAAAAAAAAAAAAAAAAATTATACAATGACTTGGGTGCTAAGTTGAAGATCAAATCTCTCAAGTTTCATAAGCATCTAAAAATTCATTTATGTAAGTTACAGCTTGACTACTGGCATTATTTTTGTTTTATTCATAAACAATGCTGTTGCCCAGGAGATTGTCTCCATTGTAGTAAACAAAACAGATTATACAACCTAATGATCTGTTATAAAGGCATCATATAAAAAGTGTTTTATTCATAAACAATGCTGTTGCCAGGGCAATTATCTCCATTGTAGTAAACAAATCAGATTATAAAACATAATTATTTGCTATAATGACTGTGTCCAGAAAAAAATTGTTTACTGATCCGCCGTGAAATCGCTGTTATGAAGGGAATCTTATGAAAAGTATGAAAAAAAAGGAAAATGCTTTTTGGAAACAGCATAAAAACTCAAAGGAATCTGTGATATGATATGGCATATAGTATCTAGTTCAAAAGCCATGTTCATTCATATATAAGAGATTTATCATATGTCTCTATGTGTATGAATCATCACTAGCCTACGGTTTTTTATAAAGTCAGAATGCCCTCATAGAAACAGACAATGTCAAATTGAAATCAAGCCCTCAAATATCCAATCATTCTTTGTAACATTGATCATTCTTTTTCCTTGTACCAACTTAGAGCTTTCTCCTCATAATATTTTTGATTTTTTACACTTAACAGAAAAAGAAGGAAATCAGTGTTTGGAATTAGATGACATATTTCACGTATGACACATTGAAAAACACGTTCTTTGCTTCTTTATCAAAAATAATCCAGAACAAGGCTGAAAAAAACTTTTACGATTATCAAAGAATAAAAGAAAACATTTAGTGGTATTTCTTACAAATAAATACAATGACAATAATGATAAAAATAAACAATTGTGATAATTAAACTAATACTTATATCATCTTGGCAATAATTATGAAAATGTAAGAAGAGAAATAGGAAGGCAGATGAGAACAGGTCAATGTGTTACACATTTTGCCACAAATAAATATCAGCTGAAGTTGAAACTGCAAAGCCAGGTAAATAAATGATACATAAAAGAATCAATTTTCAACATAACACTCGCCAATTTAGCCAAATGCTAAAACTGACTTAAATTGACTACACAAAAATAGCTCAATTTGACGAATTTGAATCAAATTCAAAGCATAACAAATTGACAAAAAAAGTGGTGATTTGGTTAAGCAAAAAAAATTGCTAGCACTACCCCAGATTGAGGTTCACCTAATATCAACAAGAAACAATTTCCATCATGCATTTCAGTTCAAAATTTAAATGACCTTACAGAATAATTTAATTTATCATCAGTGTGATAGAGATTGATACATTGACAAGGTATGGTTTTTCTTCCACTTCTTCATCATTCACATCCTCAAACCATGTCATAATTAGTATAATTATTGTTTCTAGATTTTTTTCTCATTTCTTTTCTTTTTTTTTTTTTGTGGCACACCCATCCAAACTGAACATCTAATTAATACATGTTATTAGTACATATACTTAAAAGTGCCAAGTAATTCACACATTGTTAAGTACGATAATTACTCGATCTTTTGAATGAGGAAAAACTAACAATTTTTCAGATACATAATTTTAAAATCATTAAAAATATATTTCTGTGTACCATCTGTGGTGCTTTTTTCTGTATACAATACAACTAAAAGGTAGCCCTGTTTATCAGTTTTGCTGCCATCACTCAAAAGGAATGTTTTAACTTCAAGAATTTATAACTTGAAAAAATACAATATCTGGAAAATTTATAATTTTTCCCCATTGAAAAGATCAAATCTTTACGGTAACTGTAATAAAAGACTTACCACTTTCAGGAGTGTGGGCCATGCTGGATTGAGGTGCTTTGGAAATGGTCACTCTGTAATTACTTATCAGTTCCCTGGTCAGATCACTGGTCAGTGGTCACCAATTAACACTTATGCATCCTGAAAAAAATAATATCCCTTATCAATTGTGTGTACTCATCAATTTTGTGATATATCAAAGTTTCAGATGATGTACACTATACTATATTAAATCTTTCATCATTTGAAAAGAAAAGGGAAAATCCAAAAATGTAGCTTTAGCTGTTTGCCATGAATTTGCCTCTACAAATTTATTTCATCCAAAACAAAAGAACAATGCTAACAATTTGCCACCATCATCAGGCAGCTCCTATTAAAATTGATCCCATCTTAACAATTTAATTCCAAGGTAATACACTTATATTTGTTGAAACAATTAATTAAAATAAACAAAAATTTTGAAAGATTAACCATGAAAATAATTTCAACAGATTACATGAGATCTATGTGTGATTAAAAAAAAAACAATGTTACAAACTACAACATACTGACAATTGTTTTATTCCTTAATGCACTCTTTCATTAATTGAAGTTAACCAGCTTTATGAAAAAAAAAAAGAATCATTGCTCCCCCAAAGACATATTTTAAGAATAATAATGACGTCTGGATTAAAATGAAAATGACCATGATCACCCTATTGTCCAATTACGCATACATTTTACATCATGAATAACAATAGTGAGATGTATCATTAGGAGCTATTTTAATTAGACAAAAATAATTGAAGTATATGATGGGTATTCAGCAAGTCTCATTAAACATCATCCTGTCAACCACTCATTATATATTCTTCAAAATTGGTTCTTCTTTGACGTTAAAGTGACATAGTGTTCATTTTCTTCTGTTTAATTGCGTGTTTCTTGGCATTATACGAGATAACTAAACTAATCAGGAAGAGGGTTTTAGATATAAATACTGTGGCACTTCACTATTCAGTTCAGTCATATACATCTCTGCCAATAAAGATTTCCAGAAAAACAAAGGTGGGGAGATAAGTTTCAATTTGCTCAAATTACCAAGGAAGCATTTGGCTAAAGATTTGAGAGATATCTCATTGTTGGAGAACAGCAAGGAAAACATATTACATGTGGTAAGAGAAAATTTTTTTCATTTCATTAAACTTCACTGGCATCATGAAAAGGGCCTAATACCACCAAAGATAAAGTTGGCTACAAAGCATTGGAAAATAGAGTGACAAGTCTGCAAGAGAAACAGAATGGCATCAAAAGAACTCTACGCCAAGTTCAGTGACAACTTTCTGACCTGCCACATCTGCCTCAGCGAGTACAAAGACCCTCGAGTGCTGCAATGCTACCACACTTTCTGCCTGACCTGTATTGCGAACCACGCACACGCAAGTCAGGTTGGCGGGAAATTTCAGTGTCCAGTTTGCCGGGAGGAAATCACCATCCCCACAGGAGGACTGGACAAACTTGTTCACAATTTCTTCTTGAACAAGATCAAAGATTTCATGCTTATAAACCCAAAAGAAGCCTTGTGCTCTGTCTGCAAGACTGAGGATGTCCAACTTTACTGCCACAACTGTAAATGTCATTTCTGTGCGAAATGTCAGAAAGAGCATCATGACAACCAGGATGACTCCGACGGACATGCCATGAGCCTCCTCCCCATGTTTGCTGAAGAAGAAACCAGTAAACCTAAGGAGCTGGAAGAAAGTTTACAGCAGATTTGGGCCCAAACAATCATTTACTGCGAGAAGCACCCAGATGAGAAATTGAAGTTCTATTGTGAGAGTGACAACACTGTCTTGTGTTGTGACTGTTTAGCCACAGACCACAAGAAACACCACTTTGTCTATCTTGAAAAAATCGTCGTCAGTGAAAAAGAGGGCATCGAACAGAAATACAAAGAACTTCTGCCAAGGGTATCCACATTTGAAAAGAGCGAAAAAGAAATCGAAGCACAGCAGAAAAAACTTGGAAGAAGGCGAGACAAACTTCAGAAACAGCTGCAAGACCACGCCAAGGTTCTCCACAAGAATGTTAGCGATAAACTGCAAGAGCTTTCTTCGCAACTTCAGGACCAATTCACAGCCCAGATGAAGGCCTTGGAGGCAGAAAAAGACAGCATCCAGCTTCAGAAAGTCTCAATACAAAGTACTTGTGAATTTGCCAAGCAGCTTGTCCGCCATGGCTCCCAACCCGAGGTCATGACCCATGCCAAAAACATCCAGACCCGAATGTCAGAACTGAAAGACTTTCAGCCAGCACCGATCAAAATAGGCGACATGAGTTTTGTCAAACAAAATCTACCTCCAAATATATTCGGTAAACTCAAAGAGCCAGAATCTAACTTTCAGGTATTGCCATCTGTCAGTCAAAAACTCAAGATTCAACAAAAAACCTCACCGTCTAGTCGGCCCTCAGTAACCATAGCAACAAAAACGTGGGTTCAAGCAACACTAATGAAGACCTTTGATATCAAGCTGTCAAACACCCATGACATTTCTTGCAGCTTGAACGGGAACTTCTACCTGACCAGTTTGAACACAGATACCCTCAAAGCAGTTTCAGAATCGGGCGAAAATGTCTTTGAAGTCAAAGTTCCTGGAGCACGCTGTGTGACCTGTCTCAGTAATGACCGTGTTGTGGTCACCAACGTGGATGGCTGTATGGTTTACACAGAATATGGAAACCAGGTGCGGAAATTCGGCCAAGGTGACATGACCGACCCCTGGGGGGTCACTGTGGACAGCAGTGGGCATATCCTAGTGTGCGATGGCATCAACAAGTGCATTTGTATCTACAACGCTGTGGACTACATCCTCATTAACAAGATCAGCATCCCAATGTGCGAGAAACCAGTCTACATCAATGTCAACCCCAAAAGCAATGTGATCATCGTCAGCGACAATGGTGGCCATTGCGTGTACGGTGTAACACTAGAGGGCGACGTAGTGTTCCAGTATGGCACGCCAGGGCAATCAGGACAGGGGGAGGACCAACTGTACTTTCCCTGTGGGATATGCGTTGACAGACAGGGACACATATTCGTAGCTGATAGTGACAACCACAGGGTGGTGGTACTGACCCAGACAGGAAAGAAGATGAGACACGCCATTGGTAAGCAGCAGATTAAAGTCCCTGTGGGTGTAGACATCAATCGGGAGGGGGAGTTGCTAGTGGCTGAATTTCACGGGAAAGTGAAATTATTCCAGTGTCTTGATGTCTAATTGTTGTAACAAATTTAATTAAATCTGTTAATGAACAAAAGCCTTTGTTGTGAGGACTGACAGCAGATTTATTTTGATCAGAAATTATGTACTAAGTATAGTCTAAAAATAAATCTAATAATTGTTGTTACTAATTAAAAGCACCATATGTAAGGGTTTTGGGAGAAAGCAAGGTATTAAAACAAAGGGCCTCTATTTAAGCAATAATTTTTTTCTAAGCATTCCATAAGTCATATGTTTTACTGCATGGATATCTAGCAACATGACATTGTTATCCAGTCTCGTCTTATAGGGGCTACTATTAAAGTAGGAGACCACTATCATATTAAATATTGTTTTTATTGTTTGTTCTTGTAGCCTCAGACACCAAAATGTACAGTCAAATGACTGTGTAAGATACTGGTTGAAAAACAAAAACTGTTAATAAGAACAAATTGCCTTCTTGGCACTGAATATCATTATTATTTAATACTTCTGTCTGTAATAGTGAATTTTCGGGTTGAGAACAAATTATATAGTCACTTGATATGATACAGATTTCCATGTAAAGATGTTTGAATGTATGTTTGTTGTACAGTATTGTATGGAAATTATACTTATCTTGATCAATTTGTAAGAATGCACAATGTACTTGAATTTAAATTAAATTATAAATGTTTAAAATATCTATTCAACTGTGTTTAATGTAAGTAAATGTATATTAGGAGTAGCATGGTCATGTATTTTACCTAGAAGTAACAAAACTAATAGACTAATACATTGACTTCAATGCACTATATGTAGAAGGGATTTGGTAGGAAAGCAAAATATGCACTCATTTGGGTGACTGGCTTCATTAAGATTTAATTCTAAGTGATTTTTTTTCTGTCAAGGAATGACAAGGGGGTCTGTTTACCAATGGAAATCAAAATTATTTTTAGAGAAAAACATTGGAGATTGAGCTAATATTTCTTTTAACGGTCTTCAGTCATTGTGCATATTGTATTTGAAATAAGTAAATCAAGTTGCACCTTCGTAAAATGGTTAGAGATACTTTTTACATATTTAACTGTTAAAGATTTGATAATTATGTAACAAATTATCTCATTAACCTTGCAGATGAAGAGCATGGCACATTAAGCTAGAATAGTGGACAAATGTTTTGAGTCAAAATAAAGTGAGTCTTGTAATTAATAACCAGTGTTTGACTATGTATCATGTGTAAAACAGTGGACTTCATCACTTAATTCAAAAATAAATAAGTTATAGGGGGAACACAGATATACCAAATATGTAAAGGTTTGAATATACAGGGTGAAGCAGACACATTGAACATCATGAAAAAAGCATCAAAAAAGCAATTATAAACCTGTTTCATGGAAATTCTTGCTCTACTACTAGTACTCCACTCTCCTTTAGTCTCCTCTAACACAGAAACTGTCATTTTAAAACCAACTTTTTTATTCAAAATGGTCAATATCAAGAATCTCAAGTACCTTTTCCAAAACCTAATTAAGGAAAGAGCCAATTAAAAACATTAGTCACTTAATAAATCAAATTAATCATAAACTCGCAGTTAAACTGACCTGCTATTCAGTATTCTGTGCCAGTGGCATAAAGAAAACCAACCTTGGTCAAACACAATGGGGAAAGTTATATCAAAATCAATGTAGTTACATGAAAAACAACACTGATNCTCCACTCTCCTTTAGTCTCCTCTAACACAGAAACTGTCATTTTAAAACCAACTTTTTTATTCAAAATGGTCAATATCAAGAATCTCAAGTACCTTTTCCAAAACCTAATTAAGGAGAGAACCAATTAAAAACATTAGTCACTTAATAAATCAAATTAATCATAAACTCGCAGTTAAACTGACCTGCTATTCAGTATTCTGTGCCAGTGGCATAAAGAAAACCAACCTTGGTCAAACACAATGGGGAAAGTTATATCAAAATCAATGTAGTTACATGAAAAACAACACTGATATCACACAATCACTGCCGACCTTTGACCTCCATGAAGTGTTCATTACAAAAGACACTGTGTTAAGGTGTGAGAAATTCCCACTCATGTCAATATCTGTTCTGATCGACTTCCTTGGATTAATAAAAAAGCTCTTAAGAAATTTCACCTCACAGGTTCAATATCATCCTGTGCTTATTTGGCCAGTGTAAACATAGGAACCAAAGCTCCGAGTTGCACGATTTGTAGAGGAAGTTGTGATTAATAAAACGGTAAAAATATGGTGATAAAATGTGCTTGGTGAACTGGAGATTTAGTACCACACAAAAACTGGCATATATTTTTCATTTGACTAAAATAATTTGCTTTTTTTTGACAAGCCTAAACTTAAAGGCAATTTCATGCAACTATGAAATGAAAAACTTTTTTTTCCTTTTTAATTCAACGAAAAATTTTCTTCAGAACCATGCTCCTTGGCCCACAAAAAAAAAAAAAAAAAAAAAAAAAAAGATTGAATCTTCCATCATAATACTTCATTGCTTTGCATTTTTGTTGCACCTAAATATGCCAACCAGTATTACAGTAGTATTTCATCATTTATTTCATTGAACAAAACTGACCTCTTTTTCGTCAACTGTGATATGGACCCTTTTCCCACCAATTTACAAATCAGAACTCTGCTTTCTAACCAACTGTAAATAGAAAAAGAATGAACAATAACACTCAAACAATATATTCAGAAACAACATCAATTTTAATAAAAATAATCTTCTCTTCATTTTGTTCTGTAGTAGACTGTTTCAAATTTTATTTTTGTCAATATTTTTTCTTCCAGTTAATTCAATATAATACCATAATACAGTTTTAGTAACCCATACTATAAAAGGGACAGAAGACTATATTAACTGATTCATAGACAAGACTGTAAGTCTGTTTATGTCTTCATTTACCTCTCCCTCCTCTAACCCCCCCCCCCACACACACACACACGCACACACATACTCCCTCACACAAACATGTGATTCCTCTTTTTTTCTTATTAAGTTTGCAATGTCCTGTTTTGTACGTGGAGAAAGGATCTGTTCAGGTTCCTGACACATCATATTACATTAGTGTGAAACATGCAAGTTAACACACACATTACTGTGAAACATGCAAGTTAACACACACTGGACACTCAAATCTGTAGTCAGCAGTCTCAAAGTAAAGTGGAGTGTTTATTTTTTCTAAAAAAAAGTGACTATTTTATCTTAAAGTTTATCCCCCCCCCTCCACTTGCCCAAAGGCCTGATAATCAATGGGTATAAAAACTTCCATATTCCAAGATTTTGCAACATTTCATGTGAAAATGTTTCATTTTTAAACCTTTTCCAGCAATGGGTAGAAATTTCTCGGGGCATGGAGCTGTGGCATACAAGGGGTGCATAACAAAATGTTTTTAATATTATCCAATATTTCACAAATCTTTAACCAAAAAAAAATTCTGTTACAGTACTTGTATTTGGCAGAGACTTTTTTCTACTCACAAATATGCAAATGAACAACAATTCGAAACAACCAATTTAAGGCAACTGTACTTATTACATCAGGTAAGGTCAACAAGAAGCCAGTGCACCACTAGGGGAATCTCAGAACCAAGAAATCCAATGTAGTGAATTAGATTAGGGTTGGATGACGTCTCAGACAGATTGATTTCTGTGTTTCTGAGACAGTTTCTAGTAGAATCTATGCAGAAAATAACTCGAAACAAATTAAATCTGTCACAGTCATTAACTCCATGCCCGAGGGTTGCTTTCAGGCATTATTCCGAATCGGATTTTCCTTCTTTCTAAATTGGCTTCCTCCTTGTCCTTCCAATTTTTCTCTAGTCTTACAACTTAAGGAGATAACAAAATGCCCCCAGGATTTCTGTGACGCAAGACTTTATCTTTTTTCAGCTTACTTTCTGTTTTTTTCCATTTGTATCTGATATTTTTACTTCAGTCAGTCAAAAAAATTAATATATCTGTCTCATGATATCTTTTATGAATAGCTTGGTATTACCACAGTAAACAAATTGCTATAATCATGGCTTAAATCTGTGCTTATTGCATCTTGATGTTTTCAACTAATAAGGTGGAAATCTAGTATATACTGTTTTATTAAGCATTACCTAATCACAATAGTTACTGTAGTGTTTAAGATGGTATAAATAGGACAGAAGTGCCCGTTCTCCTAACCATCAATGAGTATGGCACATACTAAATCTTGGTCAATTAATTTTAATATCTATGAATGTGTAACAGAGGGCAGTTTAGTAGCTGTTTCCTTTCTTTTTTTTAAATCAAAATTATTGTAATGGACGTAAATATGTGATCTTAGCTTTCAGTTTTAAAGACAAAATGGAGGTAACTGACATTTTAATCTGTTTGTAAAGTGACCTTTAACAAGCAAAGTTTTACTAAGCTTGATATTTTTCTGGAGATTTCAACACCTTTTCCATAATCACCCAGGTATTTCATATCCAAAAGAAGTTTTCAGAATTTCTGCTCTAAATATCGGATCTGTTTTTGAGTTTTATATTTCTAATATTTGAGTCACTTCCATGATGGAACCAGTGAATTTTAATTGTGACAGAAATAATTATAAACTTGTTAATAGATTTATTATTATATAATTTTAGGATAATATAATAACTTGATGATATAGGGAAAATTGATGCAAATTCCAGTTCCTATGTACACACTATATGCCTTGAAAAGAATAGGATGTGCACACACACACACACACACACACACACACACACACACACACACAGAGAGAGAGAGAGAGAGAGAGAGAGAGAGAGAGAGAGAGAGAGAGAGAGAGAGAGAGAGA